GGACTAAGAGCTCTCCAATCAGACGGTTACTTTCCTTGTTTGATTTTCGAGCAGAATTCAGGATCAATTCTGCTCATATGCCTTCAGTCCTAGTAATGCTATTCTGACCTCCAAACTCGGCTTTCATCGCACTGTGTAAGTAGGATAATTACCATGTTTACCAGAGGGATTTTATCGTTATTGATATATAGATAGTTAGCGTAAGGAAGCTCACATAGGCGATTTGTTTTCCCCTGTTCGGATGGAGGAGAATGACACTGCCAAGTATGACGAAACTTTACTAAGCAGTAGATAATAGAAATGCTTCTTTTTCATTTGCGGTACTGACCATTCTTAATTAGCAGTTTGTTTTCTCCAATATACGTTTCAGAATAAGGCAAATTAAATATACCGCAGCGCCAATACCGTCTGAATGGGACTATTAACAGACTCTTACACAACAAAATTATCAAAACCTTGTGATTGTATTTTCATGAAGTTATATAGAAAGCGTACATGGCTTGATTTCATACCTTCGCTTAGAAATCGTTGTTAGTACTGCAACAATACTGTATGTTCTTTAATAAACTACTACATTAGGTAGTTTAGCTTACAGCGTTTGCGCCGTGACTGATAATTTTGGTGCCATATTACATTTAAAAAACCAACTAACTTCAACAAATGCCTTCCCATTTGGTTTTGAATCAGATAAGATATCTTACGCGTGTTTTTATTTCTTGTGATATTACTTAATATTGTTGATAGTCAATGATGAATTGAAGGAAAGTACAACTACATGGTTCGTAAGAAACCGTCATGGACTCGAAAATCTCTGCGGCAGGATTTCTTTTATCCCATCAAAACGTTTGCATATGGGAATACAACGACTGTCTCCAATTATCGATGTTCATAAGATTAAGTCTTCGATGCAGAGACAGACATTTAAAGCAAAATTGGTCACATACGTGATTCTTAAAAATCTAACCCTCGGGGCACACGGAAGATTTAGCGCGAAGAGATAAGTTACCTGTCACTTAAAACCCACTGTTATGTGAGTTGTGGGTTTTCTAGGGGAAACGTAAGTTCTCAACTGTTGACACGTTTATTACTCATAGCTAAAAATGTCTTTGATAGGTTAAAAGCTCTAATTTTCGATGATTCATACGTGCAGCACACGTTGTGGGTGAACCCGTAGGTGTGTGTGTGTGTGTGAGGTAAAGGTGTTTCATGCCCCAGGCTTTGACCTTCCGTTAAATAGAACGGAATTAGTATAATTAAAAAAAGCTGTAGAACCCTAAACTGACTGTGGTTTTTAGAGAGAGAAGGGCACGTCGGTTTGAAAGGCCTAGACGAACGAAAACTGCTTAACTTGGAAAATTTAAGATTCAGTTTGTTGGTTTAATTCTGGTATCTTTGACTCAAAGGGTAAACTAAGATCTTTGACGTGATGGCACGGAAGGTCAAAGAGGTATCACAGTTTTTCCAAATACAGAGTCATTTGAAATTTTGGTAATTCATACTGATTCGACATGCGACTGGAACTGAATCCCATTGTACGCCTATTTAAGACAAAGGTTCCCTTCTTTACACCAGACAAATTAGTTTGAAGATTAATTCAGAGAACTACTCAGACTTATTAAGACTCTCTAGATGCTAAAAGATCAATAATTCATTTTAAGAATGCGAGTAAAGTACTTTTTGCCTTCTGCATCATATGATTAGGTGTAGGTCAAACCACAAAGCTGAGAGACGAAAAGGTATCTTTTTGTGTGTTCAAGTTAACCTAAAATGAACTAGACTGTGCACAGCTGTAGGCTGCAGCTTTTTCTTTTCGCAAGATTAGTTTATTTAGTTAAATTTCTAAGTAATTTCTATCACAGCCTTAATGACTAAAACACCTCATAAGAGGTTTCAAAGGATATTTCAAAACCAATTTATTCCCACGACTTAGCTACGGTGCAATTACATAATCAAGTGAAGGTCAAAGATTTCCCACATTGTTAAATCAATTAGTTATGCAAATCACACGATGATGGAAAAGCTGAATTAATTTGGACGTTAATGTCAAACTGAAATGTTTCAACCAGCCTCGCGCTGAAAGACAAAAGTACAACTGTCTAGTTTTCTGAACACGAAAATGACACTTACTTGATATATTTCTTACGGCTACACGAAGCGTTGATTGGCAAAGATCCGGCTTCAGGGAATTAAAAAATATGCCCTTTGAGAAGTACAGAGGCCTGAAATAATAATGTTTTGACCTATCACTTGGGATATCTCTAATTCTCGGTTGTGGTTGACCGGTTATTTTTTCAAGCTGGAATTAAAAGCCTCCTCAATCGGATCCTCCTCATATTTTGAATACTCAGGTGTACATTGTATTCCTCGAGTATGGGAAAGCCGGAAAAGAGTCATCTTTAACATTTCTGAATGCTGATATTAGATGAGCTCCCATAAATTCGATTTTTAAATAGGAAAAAAATCTGCTCTCCCCTAGATTTGTGATGAGTGTGCCCGAGTATAGTTCGTAAGCAGATTGCTCCAAAAGAGGCAGAAAACAAGACAGAAGGCTAACAACGCTGGCGTTTTTATCGCTTGGGCAGGATTTATCTTGTAAGATTTCCTGAGTTTCAAATGATAACCAATCGAATGCCCAGAGACAACCAATTTCGTTAGCTGCCAGCACTTTTTGGTCAAAACGTGGCTTTGAAGGCAATTTTTAGCTCTGGGATCTTAAGCACTGCGCATCACCAACTCCTATTGTTTTACTTGGTATTTGGAATAATGATGCAAAATTGTTACAGATTGTCTCGATATTCCAGCTGATGGTGCGTACCAAAACTATCAGTGCATTAACGCCTAAAATGTGCAAATTGATAGCATGCCAAGTCTGCTATGTCGCAAGTGAAAATTGATTTTTCCCGCTTCTTGGGAGAGGCCAAATCCTTAGTTTTTACATAGCTTTATGTCTCATTTTTGAAACATTGGAGCAACGACCACACGCAACATTGCTTCTTCTTTAAATTGTGGCGCCAAAAGGATAATGAAAGTATAAACACTGGTAAGCAGAAATTAACAATTGAACACATGTCAGTGGAGGTTTAGGTCAAGGAAGATAAGAGAACGGAAATCGATGAGAGATATCACACGGCTTTCACTGATCAACACTCACGCACGTGAAAACACTCGGGTGGGATTCTGGGACAGATTCGCACCGACAGAGAGCTGTTTGAAAACAATAGCACCTAGAAACTCTGAGAATCGGTTGTATAATTTTGGCTTAACCCATTCAGCAGCTGTCTGCGTAGAGATTCCCAAACAAATCGTACGGAGAGTTTGGACAGCGATTTCGCCAGATTTATAGTTGAAACCGTGTAAGTGGAATATCAAGACTTTGGAGACGTTTTAACATGGACGATCACGATGTTCTTAAGACGGAAATCGAAGAAGAAAGCGGTTCTCCCACAAGCAAGCAAGATGTTAACGGAGGCTGTCGGAGAAGGAGAGCCAAACCTAAAACGGCGACAAGTAGAAAGGAACGAAGACGAACGCAGAACATAAACGCTGCGTTTGATGATTTGAGGAAACACATACCCAATGTTCCCTCCGACACTAAGTTATCCAAAATCAAAACACTCAAACTTGCGATGAGCTACATTCATCATTTGGAGAATCAACTGGAAGATGAAAGCCAAGGCCAGGAAATTGTTACGCCTCCTGAGGAATCACGCCGCAAAACAGACAACAACGACGACACTGTTAGCAATGACAGCAACAGTTCTGATCGATTAGATTCTTCACCGAAGGTAAATAACAAAAGAGCATCTTGAATATTAGGAGGTTAACTGTGAGCTCGAAATACTGAAATGCAACTTTCGAGTGGAGTTTCCTGCTTAGGTCATTATTACATAATTGCTTTACATTTAATAGCAGTCCTAAGTACTTAAACAACTGACTGACTTCGGTCAACGGACGAGCGGTTAAGACATCGAGAATGCAATGAACATACTTTCACTCCGACTTGATGGTTCATTTTGCAAGAAGGTAAAATTATGGCGTTGAATCTTAACAAATTTGAGCGATAATGTTCCTTCAAATGTGTTACAATACCATTGTGGTTCTCTATGGGGTTCCAGCTCTTTTCTTTATTAAAAGTGGAGCTAATTACGAACAGCTTGTTTGGTTATTTTAATTCATTTATTTCAGCTAACATGCCATTGACCAATTCCAGTTGCGGTAGACAAACGGCAAAGTGATTAAATCCACGCATGTAAAGTGATGGAAGTATTTTTTTTCGCTTTGTTATGAGCCTGGGATTAAGTACCTTTTTTTTATAATTTGCTTTGTGATACAGAATTGTGACGAAAAACAGAGACTCTCTTCCCCGCCGCGTCGAAGCTCCAGAACAGGATGGCCGCAACACGTATGGGCATTGGAGCTCGTGGGAAGCCTCAAACAACAATCTGTTGCGTAATGATAAATTTCATCTGGCGAATCTTTCTGCACAAAAATATTGAAAAGTGTGTTTATCCACATGTTGTAACTAAGTTCAGCCCAAACTGAGATCATTTACGCGAAATGATTGAAGACGTGTTCAGGAAACACGAAGTGATTCCGCTAAAGAACGTAACACCTTCGTCAGACGAGGCTGGTGGGAAAAATGGCTTGCGAAGCGAAAGGATTCTGTTATGTTACTATTGAGACATTTGTTTCTACTTATCTTTAATGGGAAAACGTTGGAAATTAACAGGGAATTGAATCTGCATTGCGGCCTAAATATTCTGTAAAGAGCCACTTATAAATTGTAAATGATGTTCGGGGAACCCAAAGGTGGTTGTTGAATACCTATAGAGGTTATTTGGGATGTTGGTTATCGATGATCTCGAGAATAGTTGTGTAATAATTGATATTTTTACGTTGAGTCATAAGGTGTCTAGTCTATATACATATTAAAAACTCATCACTTAACTTCCCTACAATAAAAAACATTTGATGAATAAGAAATTAGTCTAGAAACTTACTGCAAAGAGCGCTAGCAGTTTTTGCTGTGTGGCCATGGTGATTTTTCAGGTTGTTCAAAATTATTTCCATCTTGAATCCGTCATAATAGTGCGAAAGAGTGGTTTTCTCGCGTTCAAAAATAAACGCGTATTATATTAACGATTGTCGTAATAGTAGTGTCCTGTCTGATTTAAAAAGCGCAGTGATGATAAACAGAGAACTTCGTGTTTAGTGTCCAAGTGCTCTGACAAGCTCCAGAAGTCGAACAAAATGTCGACCTGTCATATTCACTTCCTTACACGACGACCGTTCTCCAAGGTTTTATTTCGTGTTATTTCAACAAACACTGCTGTTCGGAATTCTAAAGAGTTCTTAAATGCTTTTGGACTCTGTGGAAGCGAGATGTGATGATAGGTAAGATAAAAACTGGGAGATTTTGAGGTCCTTTACATGTGCAACGTTATCATGGTAGAAGAAATAGTGAGTGTCACAGACGGCCGCGAGACTGTAACTATTTCCTTTTTTTATTTGCATCTTTTTCGGCTTTGTTTGTCGTTTAGTCGTCTGCTTTATACGAAATTACGCTGTAGTCCCTTACACTCCTGATAGAGTTCAAAAGAAAATCTTTGCTGGGATACATTTTGATGAACTCTTACAAACTGAAACAGATCATTCCAGTATTCAATTTAATCTTTGAAAGAAATACAAAGTATTTCACGGAGATGCTTTGCAAATCAGCTTTGTGAAAGAATCACTGAGTGTTATATTCAATCAATAGACAGAGAGAATGAACATCCCATGCTTTAGAAACTGGCTTTGCCAAGTCAGCAGGCCACAAAATTGTTCGCTAAAAATCGCTTTTATTCTTCGTAACATTAACGTTTTGTAAAACATTATCTGATTGTAACTAACCACAGTGAAAACAAAACTTAGACTTAGTTTTTGGATATATGATTATCGGAGAAGAATGTCCAACCTTTTCCGGAATATATCTACAGCATTGGTTTTCGGTAATAACGTTTCTTGTTTGCTCTTTAAAATCATTTAGGACGCAATGTCCAAATGCTGGTTATTTCATCGGCATTTGTCCAAGTGAAAAAGCCATTCTGAGGTAGACGTTTGCATAGAGGCATTAATTAAACTTGGACAACTTTCGTGAGAGTCAGACGTAATATTTGCTAATGGTTGAGGAGTTTGGTTCATCATAATGAGATAACAATCACATTAGCTACCCAAACAATGACAAAACTTCTCGTTCGCGGAAAACGTTCTGGTTAATGGAGCGCCCAGAGATTTGTTCTTCAAAACCGAGGACTATCGTGGGATGAGGTAAGATCGTTTGTATCAGTCTTGAGAACTAGATGGTGTTTCAAATGGGCTTTGTAAACTTTTAAAAAAGCTTCATCAGAGGGCGGAGCCGAGCTATGAATTATGATCATCTGGGGGTGGGACGATGTGGTGTCATAAAGAATGCTTTAATTAGCTTGATAAACAACTATAAACAACTTCGTAGTTGGGGCCATTTTCTACCACAGGAAGTCAAGCCACAAAACTCTTCCAACATCCGTGAGAAACTCATGACTCAGATGGTCAATATCGGCATCTAACAACTAAGACATATCAAATTAACCCAATGTTGTTGGCTTCACTTAAGCAAAGCCCAAATCTTCTTAAACGTTGACTTTCTTTGAACCCATAACCTTTGCGTGCAAATTCAAAGACAAACCAGTTTGTATTTTGTCTACATAGCACTCATCGTATTCTTTCAAATTTTATAGACTAATGACATGTATAATGAAAACAATATCGATAATTGTGTGGCGGAGTCATCGTGGTCTAATGAAAAAATGCATTTCAGGAAAATTTGGCACATTCTCTGAATAAACAGTTTAAGATTTGAATTTTAAATGTAAAATTTCCTTTGTTAGAAACAGAGAACACCAAAAGACCATTCTGTTTCAGTAAGGTTTACTTCAACAAATTATAGTTTTAACGGAAATCTCACGTATACTCCAGGAGTAATGGAGTGTTTAAATTCCAATTAGCAACTTATGTTTAGGATTGTCAACCGCTAACTTCTCTATTTAATTCCAAGCAGATGTGTTTTTTGTGCCCTGAAGGCTCTTTTCAATTCCATATTCCGGAGCAAAACCTAAATTTTGCTTCTAAGTTAAGGTAAATATATGCGTGATTTTTGCAAACCACAACTTAATGGACATGAAAGGTGCTAGACGGCACAGGAACTACTGATGACCCCTGAGAGGCCTAAGGCTTCTTCATTTACACCAGATGAAAAAAATCGAACGGAGTGATTGAAAAAAATGCATTTAATTACTAATTTTCTGTGCAACCTTTTAATAATATTTTCACTGAACTTCGATTATTAGAACATGGATGATTTCATTTCGTTTTGAAATTAAACTGCCACAATTTTTCCACCAAAGGAAAATGGCGTAAGATGCTAAGGCAAGAGTAGATACTGACAGCTTTTGAAGACTTAGCAGCCGATGAAAATGTTGTAGTGAAATGCTTTTTAAACGTTACCTCTGTGTCGCAGACTTTAATTCTAAAGCTAATATCCTTTCTCTCTCTGTTTTGCAGGCTCGAAATTTCTTTTCATCTAAATAATAGTCATCGGAGGAAGTTGTAAACGTTTCATCGGCAAGATGCAACTGAAATTTCATATTAAAACAGCAAGCTGCATTAAAGTTTATTAGATTTTGAATAACACAGACATTTCTGATGAGCTATGACAAACAACATCTTACTGTCTCAGAACACAATCTCTCCTCTCTGAGTTTGAGAAAACCTTCACTTCCCCGCGTGACAACAAGCATCGTCTGCAACTTCATCAAAAAGCCAACTTTCGTTTCTTTATATCCAGCCAAATAAATTTACCTTCGTTGTGAACAATTAAAATACACACAACGGAGCAGATTCTAGCCTTGCCCATCTATAGCGCATGATTTGTTATAAGTTTTTTTAAGGTTGCTTTCATTTAAAAATGTGAAGGTTTCAGCTGTTTGTGTGGTTGTCATCAGGAGACGAATACAAACATAAACAAGAATAACTGCCGAAGATTTGGAAAGAATGTTCACATTTTTATTGAAGGTGAAAATGAAAAAATTTAAACAGCTGAGATCTGAGAAACATCTCATCTCTACTGACTGGGAAAATTTTGTTAGGAAGAGTGAAGATATATCAACTAGCGCCGTTTACAGAAAGGATTCATTATTATTAGGAGCACGAGGACAATTTTTCGCTCTCTAAACTTACGCTTTGTTCACAATTCCAAGATTTTTGCTGTTAGATGCATTTTTATTATTTATGAGCAAGTTTTATAAAGTATATAAGATATCAAGTTGCGGAACACTAGAATATGTAAGACAATCCTTCGGTGGTTAATAAACATACAGATTTACACATGTCTCGGCAGCTAATTGTGCGCAATTCGCACAGACTCGCAAAGACATTTTTGTATAATCTTGTAAGAAAACAGAGAATTTTCCAGAATTTTAAATCTCTCACCTCTTGCTGTTTTAAAGCCTTACTTTCGGAACCAGGGAATGAATTGAGTAGCGTCCTCTTTTTTGATCGCGAAGAAAACTCAAAGCAAATCGAGTACGTCCTTGAAAGAACACTTCATAATCTTGCCAAGAATCGCTTTGAGAAACGAAGACCTATCATTATCACTACAAGAAATGATCCTTGGGATTAGAACGAATTCCCAAATCTTCGAACAAAAGACATTTCACATTTGTAAAGTATGTTCTGGGTTCCTTCAGTCAGGTCTACAAGGATTTAACCACCAAAAACGTGGATCCGATTAACGGTAGACAAACAGTGTCGAGACAATGAAGAAGCAGTCTGTTAAGTGGCGTAGTATTGAAAATATTGTGATAAATGATGATGCAAAATACTCAGTTTTCGATTATACTGAAGGGATTAGAATTCGAAAGTAGCGGTCCATTAAGAATCTATCAACGTATGGTTGGTCTGCTGTTTTTCACGTCTTCTGGGTCACTTGCTTGCAATCCTTCAACACGCCATTAAATATCTCCTAAGAAATCCGAAGGACATAAAAAAATCCTTAACAAATCAGAACTTAGATCTAACTCAAGTCTTCCGTGTCGAATATGATTAGAAATACATATCACCCTATGATTTATTGCGATTTTTTTTTTTGGCTTCTATGTAAGCTTCCTAAAAACCGTCTTTTAACTTATCGACGAAATTTGGCAGAGTGTAACCCTAGAGTTATGACCTAAGGTCGTCTGGCATCTCACGAAGAATGTTGATATCGAAAATTATAGCACGGACACGATACCAAAAAATCTTCGTGTTAAGTTGAAGCTTGAAGTTTGATCTAGTTTCTCACTAGTAGTTAAATCTAAAATGCTGTTGCGGAGGTTTGAACATGAAAATCTGACGTTTCATTACCGGGTTTAACATGATGTTGATCTTTCTTTGATGTTGGTTTGGTGAATTGTCTACGTCGTGGACCTTTCGACTAAACTTATGTCTATGAGAACATTAGTCAATTTGTCAGCTATGGTGTCAAAAGAAAAAAATGCTTTCCTTCAAAAGATAATTTACTATATCTGAGATTATCCGACGAAAAGCAAAGCCACCATACAAATTAAAAAAAGATGACTTTATGGTTTGAACTGGATGTCTTTTTTCCTGTTGTTATTTTCAGGTTTTGGATTCTCAAATTCAAACAGACTATTTTCACGAGAGAAAAGCGATCCCTGAAAGCGCAAAAAATATGTCACGGGGTTATAAATTGTCGAACCTCTTTCTATTGTTTCGAGAAGTCGTTGATAGCATTTGGAACGAAATGCTTTCAAATCTATTTTTGATCGCTACACTCTGATAAGGTCGCACTATCTCATTGCCCCGGAATTTACATTGGAAACCGCATGCAGTCATTTGTGAGTGACGGAGTTAACGCAGAGAGATAAGAACTTATGTTGTTTTGGACTTACTTCTCAGTGTTGCAAAACGATTACGAGCCTTCAGTCAACAAGCTTCATATTCGCCTTTCCTTCCCATTGGCTTTGTGCTTACTAATAGCTGATTGTGAGGTTACAGTTACGTAATCAGTGCATCTGAGTTTCGTTTTACGGACGGTGTTAAAATTATTAATTATTAGAGCGGTGTCGCTGAAGTTATTCAAATTTGGCAAGGAATCTTGCGCAACCAAAATTCTCCCTCGCTGAAAATGGTTTTATACACATTCTACTTTTAGTTCTTTGTGCTAATGGACCATGATTGTTGTTGTGAGAGACTTAATCGAAAAGCGCTAAAAATATGGGGGCTTTGTTCCTAATGGAAAGAAATATGAGCTGTTTTGGCGGGGAGAGGTTTATCCAAATCACCCGTCACTCGTTGATACGCCCAGTTGTTAGGTACAAAATTTCCTGGTTTTTCGTCTTTCAAACAATTTCGGACAGTTCTATCTGATTTTTGAACGCTTTCGTTCGATTTCGTGCGCTTCCATCCGGCTTCGGACGCTTTCGTCCGATTTCATACGCCTTTATCAGTCCGACAGTGGACGCGATAGTCCGATATCGGATCTCTTCGTCAGTTTCCGGAAGATTCCGTTTGATTTAGGAAGGCTTCGTCCAAGTTTGGACAGTTACGTCCGGTTTTGAACATTTAAGTCCTAAGTAGAATGATTCTGCTTGATTTCGGAAAGATCGGTCGCTCCGTGCGATTTTAAATAGCTACGTCCGATATTTAAAGCTATCCTCGAATTTTGGACGGTTTTGTACGGTTTGCGACTGTTCTGTCCGATTTAAGAGGATTTTGCCTGTTTTTGGACGCTTCCTTCACAATATAATGTTTTCACCCGAAACATTCGGATAAGATTAGTCTTCACGATGAGGTCTCTGAAAATAGACTTCTCCATGAGAGACTGTCTATAAATAACTCTACTTGAATCAATATGTTCCAAAACCCCGGTCCAGGAACCTCCCATGTCCTTTCCTGATTGAACTGTTGATATAGTGAATTAATTCAGTTGATTAAAACCAAAAAGGAAAAAGAGATGATTGAAATCTCAATATTATTTGACAGCTTAAGGCGCTCTAGATAAATGATAAACCTACGAATTTTCTGGACAAGGTTCTTAAAATAACTTTATTTCTCTTAGCGTTATAAAATGTACAAATAATTCTCTAACACTCTTGAAAACACTGAATTCAATTACAAATATTCATCATATCAGTCTAACAATTTTCTTACGGTGGGTTGTAATCGAATGCATTTGACAACTATGGACTTGCATTTTGGTAAGAAAGGCTGGACATTGTTTGGTAGTTATATTTAAACCGCTTGTTGGAGCTTCGAGTTGGAGAAACAAACAAGCTATTTCGAATTATCAATATTGACTCTCCTCCATTCGCATTCAAAACGTGTCCGGCAAGAAAAATGCTAATGGAGAAAGTGTTGATGGGAAGCCTTTTCTCAACCAATCATAACTCGCCTATCAACGCGGTCCTCGTTAGCTGCTCGCAATTTCGGGACGACTGAGAAAGATAATGACGGTAGAGCATGCGCCGTTTGGACGATAATCATGTGCATTCTCGACTCCAGAGCCCACTGTACTGCGGATATCAAAAGGTCATGCGCAACCATGACCTGACGCTCTATTGTCGAAACTGGTAGGCTGCGAAAGTGAGGTAACAATTAAACTTTCGGACTAATTTTTCTATAGTAAATTTCCATATACTTACAAAAACAAATTGCAAATAATAATCCTAAATTTTTGCGATCAGAGCAAAACACGATAAACCAACATGAGAAGCGATCACAAAGTTTTCTTTTAAGTCTGTCGAGACTGCGGTAAGTTCGTTTGAGTCGGCCGCCTTTCATTGGAAATAATATTCGAATGGAATTGTCCTCAATACTCTTGACGTGAATTTCTGATACGTATGGTTATACCATTGATAAAATCTTATATACACTATAAAACTCAATAACATACTTAAAGAGTATATAAGCATCAAACAAATAAGTTGATCCATTAGTTGACGGATAGTTACAAAGGTATATAAAAGTAGATCCAATGTGAAATATGTATGAGGAATTTTTGTGTACTTCCAATTTTTTCTGCCTTAGGAACGGATTGGTTCCCTCCTTGGACTGTCTGAAATTTATTTGACTCATGCTAGCTTGCATCTGAGAAGTCCTAAAAACGGAATAAAAAGAAACGTTGAATGACGAGTTGATAAGCGAAGTTTCATATTCTGGAAAGAAAAAAACTAGCAGAGCCGAACTCCATTCTTGCACATATGTAAGTTAGTTGGCACTCTATTTTTGGATCCCTTCATGCATTCAAGTTCAAATTACGCCTGACTTTTGCACTTCCTTCTCTCCTCCTACTTCTTTGATAGCAAGTTACTTTTCGCGCTTCTCATTGTCAGTACCAAAAGAAATGCTTAGGGTGTAAAGGATCAAAGCTCAAGATTCAAAAGCAGGCAGAAGTGTTCTTGAAAAAGTGTTCTTCAGCGAAGGAACGTCCGACAAACGGATAAAACTTACATCGTCAACGCTTCGCCTACGAATGGGTGATATCAGCCGTCTGCCTGTATCACTGTGATCAGAGGCTAGCGGTGAAGACATGTCCTTGGGCTTTAGTCTCGCAAATTCTCCACTGCTGAACGATGTATGCAACCTTTGCTCCGTGTTGCGAGAGTAACGGCCTGTCAGTGACTCTCCTGAAAAAGAC